TTATTAAACATGTCAAATGAGTTAATGCTGTTTAAGGAAATAATCCATACCTACAGTGAGAATCACACGAAATACGTAATTAATATCAAACGCAGAGTTAGGGAATGTTAAGGCAGGAGACTAATAACTAGAAAAAGTATAATTCGCGTTGTTATTTGTTTTAGCTCAGAATTAAGAAAACAGTACATAAGATACATTCGCCTTTGTGCCTCAGATCACAGCGGACATGGAGCGAAAACTCGACACACGCTAAACAGCGGGAGCAGGTTAATGTGACCGGTTAGCTTCATGCTCCGGCTGCTTTACCACGGGTCATAGATCCCCATGTACCCAGAGGATAGGAGCCTTAAAGGTGATGGACGTCGTAGGTAAGAGAACAAGTTAGGGACACGAAGTTAATTTGCTGGACTTATATAACCAGCTTCTCCCACGTACAAAAAAACTCGTTTTAATTTATATAGACGTACAATTAAGGTACAGACTACCAGTATTTTTAATAAAGTGACATGAAGTTTATTACACACAACGACAACAAGTGTCCTAGATGGTATCAGGTCGATTCTCCGAGGCGAGCGTAGTAGAGAGGGGGAAATTTCCCTAACCTCGTTTGACGCGAAAGTAAGTGAACAGTTCCGGCACCTCGCGTGGCGCTCTCAAGAGCTCGGAGGTGCAGAGGCTACCTCAGCGGGACACACAACATTTACCATCGACGCGTTCCTCGCTGACCTTGACATTCATTTAATGTTGATACGACTCCACAACGAACGGAGTGAGAAATTATTTTTAATGTTTTTTTCAGGTTCTCACGGCGGCGAGTATGAAGAGGACTGTGTTCTGTGACTTGCAGATGGGTACCAGCGTTTCGGAGTAGTATGATGCCTCCATCTTCAGGGTTGAAGATGGAAGTTAATACCCACCTGCCCACAAGGCGTCACAACCCAGAAGATTACCATGCTGTGATAACCCGAGATTTCGATACGGGAGCAAGGAGGGAAACAGATAAAGACAGGAAGAGGGAAAAGGATAAAGTGGAGTTAAGACGAAGATACAAAAGGTATCATCACCAGCTGAATTTCAAAACCCTGTTCTTCCTACTAGTTTCATAAAAATTCCAGTGTCGCAAAACAGGAAGTTCAGACGTGTCGCTGGGGTGAAACATCGGTCAGGCGTCAATGATATCAAGAACTGGTTCTGAGGAGACGGGGCCAAGCCAAGATTGAGAACTGATTAGAATAGGCCCGGTTAACCAGATATCAAGACAATTTCGGCCGCATCACACAAACAGCTCATTACGTCGTTAACTACGATCTCCAGTAACCAGAAGACAGAACTGCCTTGACACTGCACCACGCCACGACAGACGAATCTCGTGTTCTTAAGCCCTTCTTGTGCTCAAGAGGTTTTGAATTATTTCTAAATAACAAATGATTATACATATAAAACACATTATGCAGAGTGAACATAAAATATGGGCGCGGTGTATTTATAATATCCTTTGTGGAAGGACGCCAGCCGCTTACACAATCAGCCCCAAGCAACACAGAAAGAAAGAAGGTTCAGTTTTTGTGGCGCGCCACGGTCCCTGATATCTCTGTTTCATTTGTCATCCTCTCGATGTCCCGGCAGTTAATTATGACACGGCATTGTTATTGTCATTAGGTTTAGGTGCGATCTGGAGCCTCAGCGAGACAAAGGAGCGACTTCCTCTGTACCCTGTCCCAAAATTCGATTCAGAATTCCCACCTCCTCTCCCTACGAAGGTTCCTCCGCACCTGAAATAATGGACAGACGCTACGCGTCCTACTGCGAGGTGTTAACAGGAGCTTCCTTTGCAGTCGGAGCGGGGCAGACTGGATAACCACAAGTGCGTGTCACTATCTCCAGGAATCTTACTACAAAAAACCTCGGCTGAAGTAATCACTAAGAAGACAGACAGATGTGGGAAATAATCATTACATCGCAATGGATATTAAGGTAATGTTTCCAGATGTTGTGGATTGGAGTGAAATGTCACAATATCTGGATTCAGAGGTGGAATTCTGTGCTGGACCTCAAGGTTTTACCACAATGGAATCATTAGTTAGCAAGGTATTTAGTTAGTGAGTTAATTAAGGAGTCAATAACTGGTTCCTTATTTAGTCAGGTGACCTAGTGAATCGATGAAAAATGTGTTAATAACAGAGTTAGTTATTGGTTAATCAGTCACTTAGTGAGCTTGTTATTTCGTGACGTAATACGTTCATTAATCATACATTCAGTTCATTAGTCGTACAGTCAAGAGTGACGGACATTTGCTATTATATTAGGAGCAGCTTACCGTAAGACAAATGCAGAGCGGTGCAAAAAGTCAATATACAATGGCCACACCTCGCAGGCGGCCATTTTAAATACTCAGAGAAAAGAGAATTCACGTATGTGCTTGTAAAGATATATGTAAGGGCAGTCAT